AAAAATATCCAGCGTTTTAAGGAGAATATTTAATGACGATGCGGCCTTCATTACGTCTCCATATTGAACCTCCAAAAGAAATCAATACTCTCGTGCATTCCTCAAACTCAGGGTTGTGTACCGAAATTTCCCCGATGAGGGACGAGAGGGTGAATTTAAATGTGTCCCAGGGGTTTAGGTTACGCGCATACTGGAAAGCAACCAAAAAACATGCTCCACTCAATGTCTGAAAATAAAATTACAGAAAAATCCATTGGTGGATTCATTGGGAATGCGTTAGCATGACCCTTGGAAACGCCACATGCGTCCCCCTTTGGGAAACGCTAACGCTGACTCCGTCACTTTTATCTTTTGGCTTCCTCTTTACCTCTATTTTTGCTCCCTCTTTTTGGCCTCGTTACGGGGTCAGTGTTAGCGTTTCCCAAAGGGAGATGTATGTGGGAATTTTCGAGGGTCGTGCTAACGGATTGTTTACAAATCCACCAATTGAATGTTCCTGTAATTTTTCCCCCTTCTTTGTACTCTGCATGTCAGAGTACGTCGACGCCCTTGGATACGGTCATCCATATCACTCGTGGAAAGAACCACATTCATACCACTCGTAGAACGAACCCCATCCTCATCACTTGTGGCGAGAACTGATTTCATCGTATTAAGTACGGCTGGTCCCCCGTACCTACAAGCACGGGCAGCGTGCGCGTGAACGCAGCTTTGACGAGCTTGCAATTGGACGGGCGTGCCCATAGGAGCAGAGACATGACGGCGGCCAGTCGCCCTGCTTGCAATCGTCTGTACTAATTTACACTTTTAAGGAAGAAACAACAACAGCAACACAATACTCGGCGACAACGTTTTTTGGCAATGCAGAGGAAATTGACGATAGCCCACGCACAGCCTTATCCAGCGCTCAAAATTGGATAGAAAACACGTGCCTGTACCCTCCACTGCATTGCCAAGAAAAGTTGTCGCCAAGTATAATATAGGCTGGTTTGATTGACATTGTCCTTTATGTACTGTAGCCCCGAGCATATTCAATGAGGGCACAGGACGTCATTAGACGCGTCCGACAAATGCGTGTTGCTTTTAGTGCAAAATCGCGCTATTTTTTTAAACTTTTTACTTTTCTTGTAAAACTTTGGCTTTGTAAAAGGAGGTTTTGTCTGCTGTCTCTTCAACAAACCGGAAACTAGAGAGCACTCAAATGATGCAGCCATTCCATAGATGCACCCATCCCGCACTCCTAAGCTGTGCTCCTCAGTTCTTTACGCAGGGCTGATGTACCACTCAAAAAAGCAAATTCCTTATTTTTCTCCAAAATGGAGACTCGAGGGAGAGAAAAAAAAAGCAACTCGGTAGTTTCCTTAAAGCCTCTGCCTCCCTCAAAAACAACAACTCCGATTCTCGCTATGCGAGGCAGCAGTGATCGAGCGACCATGACTTTACTGTTAGGACTGACCCATCATGTGTAACAACACCAACGGCCATACCGTTCACGTCAAGATCAGCGCAGTTTATTTATCGGGAAAAAGTAAGATGGTTTAAGAAAGGGGGGGGGGGACTTTCGATGTTGGCCAGTTTGTCTTCTATACTATAGTTCCGGCACCAGAGAACATCGGCTGGCCTGCATTCAGTGCCCTGCCCAAATCCTCGTCGAGGTCATCACGGGTGCCCTGCGCAGTCCTCTCCCGACTCCACGCCTTGTAGGCCACGTGTTTTTCACGGTACACGTGCATGGCGAAGAGGAACGGAGCCTACGTTGCAAGAACGTACCGTCAGGTCGCGTACTGGTCAACCCAATAAAGTTTCAAAGACGTACGATGGATTTTTTTTTGTCTTTTGCGTTTTGGCACGATAAACCTAGACAAAAGGTGAAGACTGCTCTTACGGCCTCGTACCGGCGTTATGGTCTCTTCCAATGAACAATTTACACACGAAAGAATAAACAAATAGGATGCAGCATAGAGCATGACATCTTTCAACTAACAATGAACTAGAATGAAACAAAACCGCCCTCCAAATGCATCAACAAAGTTTGGAAGAACCCGTCCTTCCAAAATTTGTTGATGCATTTGGAGGGCGGTTTAGTTTCATTGTTGAAGGAAATGGAAATGTTAATCATTTGTTATGGATGCGGTTTGCAACAATATTTCGGTTTTATTACTCTCGCAGACGAACACGGAAGTTGAATTCCTTAAACTTGTGGGAGACAACGAGCCACGCTGAACGTGGATGGACGGCCCCGTGAGCGGCGAGGAAGAGGAGAAAGGGACGCTCGTGGGAGGTGCGCGTGGACAGAGTTCGAAGGGCCGTGACGAACGAAAGAGGCGGTGCTGAACGAGCCCAGGCAAGACCCGGACCCCAGGGCAACCGTGGCCTTCCACAGCATCGACGGCACAATTTGAGTATTTATAAAGTGTTTCTATGATAGCGCTCTTTGTGTGACTTCCTCGGAGCGAGTAGAACTAGGCCTGATCGGGAATTGACAGGCGACCCACATAACTGGCGCTTCCAACGTGGGGCCCGATCAGTCTGCCGTTGTTTTTTTTCGCTCCCGGGGAGTCCCACGAATCGCGATTTCTAAGTTTAGGTTTGTTTTGTTTCCCCATTTGAATTTTTTTGTTACTCCGCTGGACATCAGTGTTTAACGTTCTGCCGCCATGTCCAGGTTACGGAATAAGGCCGCCCATCCCGAGGCCTCAACCCAGTCAGTGGCGGGTATTGACTCAGACGTGGGAGAAGGCACGAGTGGGGAAGCGAGCGTTGCGGCAGCGCTAGAACCCCCAATTCCGGCGGTGAACACGGGAGACGTCAGCGAACTAATGCACGCCATGACGGCGATGTTCGCGACGTTTTCTAGACAGATGGGTTTGGCCCCAGGGGTGGTGAATCCCGCGCCTACGCCCGTGCCTCGCCCGCGGTTGAGCGTGCCGACGCCGACCTATTCGGGCTACTGCGACGCAGCATCGGTTCACGATTTCTTGCAGGACCTAGACGCGTACATTGCCGCGTTGGGCGCGTCGGATGAAACGGCCCTGATACAGATCGTCCCAATCGCGTTGACGGATGACGCAGCGCGTTGGAGGCGAATGCAGAGGCCGTTCCTTTCGATGGCAGATTTCCGGACACGATTCAGAGAGGAATTTCTGCCTCCCGACTATGAGATGCGGATCAGAGATGAGCTAGCCAGCCGTACTCAGCATCCGGACGAGAGCCTCGTAGAATACGTCCGCGCTCTCCAGGAGCTCTACTCCAGAGCCGACCCTACAGCGTCAGACGCGGAGAGGGTAGCTAGGGCGATCCGCCAGTGTCACCCTAGATTTAAACCCTACTTGCGCGGACGTGATTTCGCTGATCTGGAAGCACTTGCCAGAGAGGCGCGCATCGTTCAGGCGAGCTTGCTCGCCGAGTTGACGTATCGCCCCCCTCCACGCGCAGAGGAATCTCTGGAGCCGGGTTGCGCCTGGACAGGACGAGGCGCGGGAGCTTGCGACGACTCACGTACGCCGTACGTGGCCGTTACAGGACATAGGAGTGGCGCAACTGCTGTGCCCCGCGCCTTAGATCCCTTCGCTTTTGAACAGAGGCGCAGAGCAGCTAACGCGGGCTCTTCCAGGGCGCATCCCCCTAGGGGAGGCGGCGCAGCCGACCACCGCGGAGTCGCGAATCATTACGAGGGTCGCGGGAACTACAATGACCCCCGGCGCGACACTGCTTCGCGTGATGGTAGCGGCGGACGCTCAGCACACAATGGCAGGAGACAGGTCAGGTGCTATAAATGCAATCAGCTTGGGCATATCAAGCGTCAGTGCACATGGACGGCAGCTCCCCCCCATGGTTCTCAGGGAAACGGGAGAGGCCGGCGCCACTAATTGGACTTCCCGACTCGCGGTTGCCGGCCGCTGCCGAGGCCCCTCATCAGTCTGCCAACGGGGCTGGAGTTGCGGTCAGCGACAGGTCGGTGTTTGCCCCGTCGGCATGTCGAACTCAGGATTTGACATCTGAGAAGGGGCCGTACGTGCGCGTCGAGATCGGTGGTAACAGTTACTACGCACTAATTGACACCGGTTCGACTCTTTCCCTGATCGGCGACAGAGTCTACGAAGACTGTCGCCGACGAGCACTTCACGTGCGGGAAGTTTCCACCACGCTGCGTTTAGCAGCAGGATCGGCTAGGGCACAAAGCGCTATACGCCTTCACCTTAGCCTCGACGGCAGTCGAAGGAGGCAGCGTTTTCTCTATCTGCCAGGCATGCAAATCCCTGTGATCTTAGGACAGGACTTCGTCTGCCGGGAGGGGATTATCATAGACTTGAAGAATAACGGGTACCACTATAATCCGTTGACTCCCCTTATCCCCTTTGCCGTCCCACCGAGTTTCGGTCAGGACACAGAAAGCTCACTCGTCGGATCACGAGAGGAGCAAACATTAGCTGCGCGAGTCGTATCGGGAAACGTTGAAGCGATTGTCGCTTCTTACAACGGGCCGGCAGAACAACGGCGTAGGTTAGCAGACGCCTTGCATCGACACGCAGCTATGTTTACCGAGAGGCCAGGACTTACAAACATTTTACAACACAGAATCGACACAGGAGATGCTAGACCATGGGGTTGTAATCCCAGACCGCTGAGTGCGCACAAGCGAGCTCTCCTAGATAAGGCTCTCGATGAGATGATAGACACAGGGGCCGTGAGGCCGTCACAGAGCCCCTGGGCTTTTCCGGTAGTCTTAGCGCCAAAAAAAGACGGTACCGCTCGTCTCTGCGTTGACTACCGCCGACTTAACGAGATGACACGAAGGGATTCATATCCCTTCCCATCTATTGAGTCCATCATGTACTCGTTGGGTAGCGCGAGGGTTTTCACTACCTTGGATTGTAGCAGAGGTTTTTTGCAGATCCAGGTAGCACCACACGATGTCCAGAAGACGGCGTTCACCTGTCACAGGGGTCTGTTTGAGTTTATCCGCCTTCCGTTTGGATTGTCTAACTCGCCATCGAGTTTCCAACGGCTTATGGACATCGTGCTGGGGGACGCGAAGTTCAACTTTGCCATGGCATACATGGATGATGTCGTCGTATTTTCAAGGTCATTCGAGGAGCACCTAGCACACCTTGAGATTATCTTAAGCAGAATGAGCAAAGCGGGATTAACGATTAATCCAAAAAAGGTCCAGCTCGCAGCCTCAAGGGTCAACCTCTTGGGTTTCGTCGTAGATGACGGTACCTTGAGGCCGAACGAGGATAAGTTGAGGGCCATTCTTGATTACCCACCACCGCGCGACGCGAAGAGCCTTCAAAGGTTCCTTGGAATGGTCGGTTTTTATCGGCAGTTCATTCCAGGGTGCGCTGGACTCACACGGCCACTGAACCTGCTGCTCCACAAAGGTTCAAGATGGGCCTGGGGCGGAGAACAAGAGGTAGCTTTCTCTTCCCTCACGAAGGCGATAGCAGCCACGGCCAGCCTGTGCCTGCCAGACCTTAACCGTCCGTTCGTGGTACAGACCGACGCGAGCGACTACGGGGTCGGTGCGGTGTTATTGCAAGAACATGACGGACAGCTGCGCCCGGTGGCATTCGCCAGCCGAACCCTTACACCGCCAGAACGCAATTACAGCGTGACGGAGAAGGAGGGGCTGGCCGTCATGTTTGCTCTAAAGAAATTCGACCTGTATTTAGACGGGACCACCTTCGTCATTCAGACAGACCACGCCGCTCTCACCTGGATTCAAAGGTTGAAAGAGCCGGCGGGGAGGTTAGCTCGGTGGGCACTCACTTTGCAGCGATACTCCTATACTGTCGAGTACCGAAAGGGCTCCACCAACAAGGTTGCAGACGCACTTTCTCGGGCGCCCCATGATAGTGGTTGGAAGGAGGAGACGCAGCCAGGGGATTGCGAGAGACGAGCTTCCTGCGCGGCCGCTCATAAGCGAGACAGCGGGAAGGGATCGATGCAACAGGAGCTCGTCGCAGTGTTAGGAGGCCGCACGAGGGAACAGAGGATCGTGGCTTGGGGTGAAGTGGTGAGCAAGGAAGAGCTTGTCGAGGCCCAGAAGGCAGATGGTTTTTGTCAGCAGGTGTTGGGGAAAATTGCGGAAATAGCAAGCAACACCGGGAACGCTGGCGGTCAATTTAACGAACATATTGATTCATACTTGCTGGGTCAAGACGGTTTATTGCTCCGCTACATTCCAACAATCGACGACGAGGAGGGGAACGACTCTCCGTTCAGGGTGGTGATTCCTAGGAGGCTACGGAGGCGGTTTATCGGATACTTCCACGACTCGGCTTTGGCTGGTCATGGCAGCGGCAGCAAGACTTTTCAAAAGTTATGTCGCGTCGCGACCTGGCCGGGGATGAGACAGGACACACTCCGATACGCCCGTAGCTGCCCAGCCTGCCAGAAAGCGAAGCCGCGAGGGGGAAAGCCCCCAGGCCTGATGCAGCCTGTAGTGAGTCACTACCCGTGGGAGATGGTTGCTTGCGACATCATCGGCCCACTTCCAAAAAAGTCCCCGTGGGAACCAGTATTTATTGGTAATAACCGATCATTTCTCGAAATGGGTGGAGTTACACCCGCTGAGGAAGCTGGTCTCGGAGCGCATCTGGGAGAAGTTGTTGGAAACTTTCATGCGCTTCGGTACACCCACGTGTCTCATCAGCGATAATGCTAGCTATTTTACCAGCAGAGTGTTCACTGACTCCTGCTTGGCGCTAAACATAAAGCACAAAAGGACGACACCATACCATCCTCAGGCTAATATCACTGAGAGAGTGAACCGAAACTTGAAGAGCATGCTGATCACACTAACGGAGAGACACAGGGACTGGGACGAACACATTGTCGAGATGGGTTTTGCAATCCGGACGACCGTGAACAGATCTACTGGGTTAACGCCTGCGCTTCTAAACTTGGGTAAGGAGCTATCGTCTCCGCTGGAGAACGGGTTACGAAATAACCAAGGTTCGACAGAACGCCCACTCTCTAAATACGCGGCGGAGTTGAAAGTTCGCCTTTCGAATGCGTTGCACGACGCCAGAGAGAACCTCGTTGCAGCAAGGATCGAACAGGCGACCCAGTACGATAAGACTCATCGTCACCTGGAGTACAAGGTGGGTGACTTGGTCCTCAGGAGAACCCATCCTTTGAGCAACGCAGCGAGCGGATTCGCAGCCTCACTTGCTCCGAAGTGGGAAGGGCCCTACGTGGTAAAGGCACGACTGTCACGTCTTACCTACAGGCTCGCTCAGGAAAATGCGAGCGAGGAGTCTGGCCCGGTCCACATCACAGACCTAAAAAAGTACCATCTTCGTGATCGGGATGACGATGAACGAGAACAAAACGAGGAATCCTCCGTTCCGCGTGACTCTCGCGCGCGACCGGCAACGCGGCCTAAGCGCGGTAGCCGAACAATGCGCGAACCCGTCGGTGAGAGATCCGACAGGTGCTCTGCGCGGCGCTATAATCTGCGGCCTAGAACTTGATCTAATCTTTGCAAGATGTTAATAGAGCTTGTTCTGTCCAGAAATGCCCCCCGGAGGAACCAGAATGGGCGGCGCCATCCGGGAAGGCGACCTTCCACTTCCCGGGATACCGGCGGAGCCAGCTGGCCCAACTCCCAGGGTGGTCAACCCTTCCGGCAGAAGACCAGTCAGACCAACGCACCGGGTGGCCAACCCGTTCGGCAAGAGAATGGCCAGACAAGCCGACAGGGTGGTCAACCCCGTTGGAAGGGGGAACGGCCAGACCAACCAACAGGGTGGTCAACCCGGTTAGCAAGGAGCAAGACGGACCAACCGTCAGGGTGGTCAACCTGGTTGGCAGAGACGGGGTGAGCAATCCCGACGTCGACCACGTCAACGAAGGCAGGGCGGCGGAGACGCGGAGGACCGGAGAGTCCCAGGGACACGCTGAAGGACGAGGTGCTGAAGATTATGACGGTGCAGAAGCAGACGCGTGCCGGCCAGCGCACCCGCCTCAAGGCCTTTGCGGCCATTGGGGACTTCAACGGCCAGTGCTCCAAGAGCTCCAAAGAGGTGCCAGTCCTGCCAAGTGCTCCAAAGAGGTGGCCACGGCCATCCTTCAAGCCATCATCCTGGCCTAGCTGTGCGTCATCCCCGTCCGTAACGGCTATTGGGGAAACAAGAGTGGAAAGCGCCACACCGTGCCCTGCAAGTGCCCAAGAAGCTGCTGCACATGGCGGGCATCGAGGTCTGCTACACCTCGGCCCGCGTCTCGACGGCCACGCTGGGCAACTTTGCCGAGACCACCTACCTGGCCATCCAGCAGACGTACAGCTACCTGACCCCGGACCTGTTGCGGGAGCGAGAGCTCATCAAGCTCCCCCACCAGGAGTTCATCTTGGAGTCCAGTGACTCGGTCCAGGGACTCCGGATACTCCGGACCCCCCCGGAGTTTGAGGCTTGAGGGGAGGGGAGTGTGGGAGACAACGAGCCACGCTGAACGTGGATGGACGGCCCCGTGAGCGGCGAGGAAGAGGAGAAAGGGACGCTCGTGGGAGGTGCGCGTGGACAGAGTTCGAAGGGCCGTGACGAACGAAAGAGGCGGTGCTGAACGAGCCCAGGCAAGACCCGGACCCCAGGGCAACCGTGGCCTTCCACAGCATCGACGGCACAATTTGAGTATTTATAAAGTGTTTCTATGATAGCGCTCTTTGTGTGACTTCCTCGGAGCGAGTAGAACTAGGCCTGATCGGGAATTGACAGGCGACCCACAAACTTGAACTTACGAACCTGTTTCATACACAGGCGTAATACTGTGTTTCTATGCTTTCAGTCTCATTTCCCAAGCACAAAATGCGTGCATTTTATTTTGAGATCTTTTCCCGTTTGATACTTCCATTTCCTTCAACAATTTCTTGATCCCTCTCTTTTCAAGCTTTGTTGACTCTTTTGGGTGGCGGTTCTGTTTCATTCTTGTTCGTTGCTAGTTGAAATATGTCGTGTTCTGTTCTTCGTCCGTTTTCTTTATTCTTTCGCGTGTAACTTGAACCTCATCAACATGATTCGTTTTTAATAATAAAGTAACAGCCTAATGGTTTACATGTATTGTTTAGAGTTCGTCGCTATTCGGCAGTGGAATGTTTTTGTACAAGGCGTATGTGTTCTCAGGAGACAGTTTTACTGGTAAATAATGAATGGCCAGCCCATTTTAGGGCGACGCTCGTCGACCGCGAAGGGCCCACTCTTTTCAAAATACCGGAGCTCGAAGACGGAAGCGTTGTACAGAATAAATCTCGGACCTTATTCTTTCATGAAATGAGCGACCATAAAACCATTCACACCAAAACGGCGCTAAAAGAGTGTGTGACATTGTTATTGTGCACGGCGTTACGTGGAGCGAAAGGTCAGGTGACATGTCCTCGGAGTTTGTTTGGCTAGTATATCTTCCCTAATTAGCGCCATACACCGCCTTCAGAGGGTTTCGTACGTCAGTGTAGGTATGCTTTTATATATGTTCAAAAATAAAATGGTCGGTTACTCACCTGGATAGAAATTGTTATAAAGGTGACGAACGTGAGCGTTGGGATGTCAAACTAAAGAGGATGAAATATTATCAGAGGATAAGATCTGCTTTCCAAAGAAAAGTTTTCGTCAGGTAGGAAAAGGGAAACTTTCTTCCTTACGATGTCGCCATGAAGGTCCACCACGGACACGTAGAAGGCGCTATTCTTCTGCAGACAGAATCACGAACGAAGTTTAGTCACAGCGAACGTGATTCTTCAAACCGAAACATAGCAGGTAACGAGCGCGAGTGATGCCGATATCACTGCCCTTCGAGCCGGCCGAGATGGCGCTGCCCTTTGACCGCCCAGTTTCGGTCTGAAGCCGTGCAAAAAGGTGACATTTTTCGTCCCACAGCGCAAACTACGAATTTATTAATGCGTTATCATTACTACCCACATGACAGGGAAAAGCTGACGGCGTCCGCCTGCGGACAAAACAGTGGAAAAGGGACGCGCGCCGCGTAGGGAGGGGGAGAGTAGTGAAAGACAAAGGCGAGAAGGAGGCGACATTACTGGGCGGAAGCCAATGCGTGCGCGGACGCTGTGGCGAGTCTGAACCCGCCGCATTGTCAGGCAGTCGATGCCGCTGCTAAGCGTGGGCGAACGAATCAAAGGAGAGGAAGCAGCGCCTAGCTTTGGTTGCCGAAATGCGGCGCAAGCTGCGGCAAGCCAGCGCGGGCCTGCGTGCAACAGAAGCTGGAAAAAAAAAATGACAGGAAGAGCCATTGGTGGATCCTTAGGGAATGCTTTAGCATGACCCTTGGGAAACGCCACACACGTCCCTCTTTGGGAAACGCTAACACTGACCCCGTCACAAAGCCGGCCGCAATATAAAGAGGAAGCAAAAGAAAAATTTAGCCAGAACAGAAAGTACGCATTAGTGTTTCCCAAATGAGGACATGTATGGCGTGACCCAAGGGTCATGCTAACGCATGACCTAAGAATCCACCAAGGGATCTTGCTGTAATTTTTATCGAAATTTTGTGATCTCAAATACTTCATTCTCCCAACACGAAATATTTTTTTAAGAAAAGGTATTTGAATGGTTTTAGCTTTCTAATTAACCCATTTCGCCATTGTTCTAGTAGCTAGCCGCCTTGACGACCATCAAACTCCAGAGCTAAGAGATCCCTCACGCAAGTTTCCTTCAAAAAGCTTTTAGATATATATATATATATATATATATATATATATATATATATATATATATATATATATATATATATATATATATATATATATATATATATATATATATATATTTTTGAATCGAAGAAGGTACACCTTGTATATCGGTGAGGCAACAGGTCTCTTATACCCTAGCCAAACCAGCGCTCTCAAGTGTCATCGAGCCAACGATCGTTGGCATCTCTTGTCATTGAGCTCAACTAAGTTGTCCGCGGTGTTACACAGCACATTGGCATAACAACCCGTTGACATGCGCGTGAAAAAAATGTCGGAAATCAATTATAGGCACACTTTTCTGTCATTATAAACGTTTAAAGCAAAAAAAAAAAAGAAACTTTTTTTGTTTTGTTTTTAGAGTAAACGAAACGACAATCAAAACGTTTCACACGAATTGAAGCTAGAGAGACATAACGAAAGTCTTATCAATCGGCCCCGTCATCACAATGGCCGCCCTTGTCGAGCTTTGTGTGTCGTGCCGTGATCGTTCTAGCGGCAGCTCTGCCATCGAATGATACCTCTTCGGACAATATTTGTTGCTACGACACTTTCTAGATACGTTTCCCAATCTTCCGCAATAATAGATGCCTCGCTGGCGCTGGCCATGGGCGCCGATGAGGCGGAGGCCGCCATCTTTAGCTCTACTGGTGCGTACCCCCATCAGAGGTATTCAAGCTCATTTGAACTCAATGATCGGTAGCGGATTAATGGAATTTGGCGCCGCCGTGTAAATGCCTGTCCAAACAGGACACTTAAAAAATCGCGAGGCGACATGACTCCGCCGAAGATCGTAGAAGTTGAAGCGTCCGGCAGTCCGATGTCTGCCATCCATCCGTTCTGCCGGGCCCTCGTATGCAAGGCCGTGTTCCAAAATTTACTCATCTTACTCGATCGAGTAAATTTACTCGATCGTAAATGTTTCGTACCTTTGCGATCGAAAACTTACCCGCGTCCAGCGTCGCTCTGTCCATATTATGACGTGACATGACCCGCCGGGGTATAGTTGTGGTCTACTTGGGCAAGATTTCTAACACCGCCTTTCCCTTTCGGGAGCTAAAGAGCAGCGGGGGCCTTGAGCGATTGACCGACGGCCAACAGAGCCTGTGAATGGCTGTCCGGACCCACGTGATGAAAATGATCAAGGACCCTCACGAAGGACACGAACGAACTTTGACGAAGGGAACTTTCCCCCCGTCAAAAATCGGAGAGAAGCGGAGCGCAGCACGATTTATTTCGGAGTCGTGTCAGCTTTTTCTTCCGGTGTCTCAGGTTTAGTTATGTCTGCAATTTACCAGCTTGCCTGTACTTTTACTCTTCTGTCGTGTCACCTCACGATTTCTGAAGTATCCTGTTTGGACGGGCTTTAACAACGGCCGACCGCGATTAAGTCAACTGTGGTTGGCTTAATGACAGTTAAAAGCGCTTGTGCAGCTAGGGTAATATAGCGACTTAAATCTGGCGAACGGAGTATTACACAGGCACGTACAGGTGTCACAGTGCCAGAAAAAGTGCCAAGATTTCCTGAATAACATATTTAAATCTAAGTTAATCAATACAGGGAAGTCAATTGATGCACGTGAACCCAGTACACGATGTAGGAATATAGAGCATTCAACGCGGTGCCGATGTCACGTATCACGATGGCACCGAAGAGGAATCTCATCTTCCGGACATCGCTCTGAAAAGATAACAAAGATTTCTGGAATGATTTTGTAACCATACATGGCTCGGCCATTCAATTCCACCGAGTGTACACTAACGCTTCCATCCCGCTTTGGACGGCTCGCAAAAATTGCTTTTCAACGTACCGCCCGAAAGAGGTACATTCATCAATTGAGACATGAAACCTCCGGAGTCAAAAGAAAGAGACTCAAGACTGTTTTTGTCCGGAAAAAATATCACCAAGATGTTTCTAGTTTCCAATCTCTCAACTACCTTCATTCATTCAGACATGGAGTTGCCTGCACCGTCTTAAGGCTGCCAGTCTCTCCACTATACGTTAATTTATATTCTTTCTTTCTCTCGCTATCGCTAAACCTTTTTTTCCCCTCGAAATCATCAAAAAATTGTTTTGGGCTATTCTGGCGTTTATTACGACTGAAAAACTAGTGAAGTGGAGAGCAATTAGAACAGGCTTAACTAACCTTGACTTTATTTGACCCAAATAAGCGGCACAGTAACGCAATATATTATTTAAGTGCACATGCAAAGTATTTGGAAAACCGTTTCTTTTCGTGATTTATTCAGGTGAGTCAATATTTCCGCAATTTTTGTAAAAACTTTCAGCACCTTCGGGCCTCTTTGTAGCAAATCCTAGCAATGTGCACGCTGCATGTAGAAATCACCTGTTAAAACGATTGAAGGGCGCAACCGGCGTCCGTGCGAGCGATGTTTGCTTCAGGGGTTGTAAACAAGGTTAATGAAAACTCCAAACTTGCCCAGGAAAGCTAACTATCAATAAAACCAAGTTGTTCGGTAAATACCGATAAACCCGGCAAAAATTAACCCCCGAGCTGCTTCTGTCAAGATCGGGGAAAAACACAAATATTGCGGTCTCTGACTAAAAAAGAAAAAAATATATAAGCTTGATGAAGAACGTTTTATCTATATTTTATTACGTGTTGACCGGGGGAACACCGCCCACACTGAACTGTCAGCAAGGCTCCTGCTCTCTTCGGAAAGGTGCCTTTTATCTCGTTTCCTTCTCCCCTCGGTATCGGAACGTCATTCACGTGTCAGTGACCTCTTCCACAAAAACCCCTGATGAACATCGCTTTTTATTGGGGTCTGAAAAACACCCTAATATTTAA